GAGCATGTCTGAATTTCCAAGTTTATGCGTTGTGTGACATTAAAATGGCGGCCCGATAAGGCTCTCAAGAAGGTCAAAAGATGAGTTATTGCTCAAGTTTTTGCTAACTAAACAGTTGTTGCTCTATAAAAAGTGTTTATTTCAATGTTTCGGAGCTCTAGAGTAATAACATTTCGTTTCAATGGCAAAACGCGGTGACAGATGTTTCTGTTACTTTACGGCCGCCATGTTTGTGTCCCTCCGAGGGGCACAAACATGGCGACTCCATACAAAGCTCTATGAATTTGAGTAAAACACTTCTCCGAATAACAGGAGAATGAAAAACCGCACATACCTAAATCTTGGCGAGGTTGTTTATACATCAATCATCTTTCATATCCCAGCTTCTTGACTTAATTCATTGAATGGTCATGGTTTTTATTTCTGATGGCGTGACACTGCAAACCAGCCATAATTGGGTGAGCTCCTCGCATACTCTCAGCCATTAGAATGCAGTGACTATCAGTCGTCAACGAAATCGCGATGTTTTTACGTTTTCCCAAGGTTTTGGAGGAATGTTTGATTTAGACGCAAATGTATAACGAAATTCCTGAGAAGACTAAAGGAAAGACATAAACGGTTTCTTGACTTTAAAAACTTGAAATTATTGAAAACATGGGTGCGCGCGCGTAAACAACTACAAATTTCCAGTGACAAAATTCAGTCCGTGCAATTTTGCAAAAGCGTGAAGTCAGGAGCCCATCATGGTGATGCTCCTGGTGAAGTTTAATGATACGCAAAGAAACCATTGGAAACCGTTTTTTGCGTTTATTTCAGTTAGAATTCTACTAAAGCAATTAAATTATCGTCAACTATCACCATAGAAATCTCGAGCTCATAATCTAATTGTTAATTATATTAGTGTCTAGTGGTTATGGTAGCGTTTTCTCGTTTCTCCTATGTGTCGAGGAAGATTAGAAATATCACTGCTTAATTCAATTACTAAGGACACTCGAAAAAAGGAAATTGACCCTCATTCTTCTTTATGTGTGGGGAATAAAATAATGGGAAATCATTATCTGAAAGAAAATTAGCTTGTGTACGTGTAGCTGGCAGACTTGGAGAAGGACTGTCGAGAAAGAGAGAAACAAGGCAGGGTAGAAGACGTGGAATGTAGAGGCGGCGGCACAAAACAGAGAGTGTTGGGCAGAAAATGTGACGGCCTTATGCGTCTACTGGCGCCTCGAGAACTGATGATGACGTGTAGCTGGCGAGATTTCGAGCGCAAGAGGCAATAAAATGGCGGTTCCACTGCCAAAAGTCACTCGCTCGCGAATCCTGCCAGCTTTGTCAGCCGGCACATAAGAAAATGTGGCATCATCAACTATCACCTATCATAGAAATTAGCATTTGTATGAATCTTCATTGAGAGGCTGTCGCAAATGACGCAGCCTTGATCCCAGTTTCTCTCTACGTTTCCTTCAGAGAGGGCCTGGGATATTTTTTGGCAAAAGTCCGCTGTCCTACTGCTGTCCTCCCTGGGGAAATGAGTGGTTCCAAAGCAACTTCCGGTCACTTCCGGGTTATGGCGGTGTATTTGAGTTTCCTTATCGTCATCCAGTCTCTAATTTCGCTGTTGTACGTGACAGGGACTGAGCAAGCCATCCTTTCAGGTATGATATATTCAAATGCAAAGCGTTCGTCTAACTCATGGTAATTGTTGCAATTGAAGAAGAAAACAGAACAAACTAGTCAAGATTTTTTTGTAGAGCTATCAACTCGATTGAATTAATCGTCGTTCTGCAAGGCTTATGAATCGTTTTGCTTTTGCTTGCTTTCTTTTCTACTTGTAATCTTTCTTCTGAATGTAACCAGGCTTATTCTTAATTTAAGTGAGAACTCCGGTGGCATATGTCGTAGCTGGAAAATCATTTTCCTTGGATTGCAATGTTAATGGAACTTTACTCTTGGCCAGTCGAGTTTCTTGGAAACACGAAGGGAAGTGGCTCCACAATCAGGCACAACAGTCAGGGACAAAGGTGCAGCTGGTTCTCAACAAAATTAGACTTCAAGACGATGGCATTTATCAGTGCAGTGTTTACAATTTCTCTGGTCTTAGTCCAAACGACGATATTCCAAACGACGTAAATGTGACCATGGTAGTTGTAGGTAAGCTTAATCAATAATTATAATGAGATACGAGAATAACTTTTTATACAGCGGCGTTGATGAAGGAAGTAAAACAAACTTTACGTAGCAGTGAGGTAACACTGGATTCAAAAAGAGGTTAGGAAGAGGAGGGAGGAAGGGATGTAATAGTGTATTATGTATAGAGCCTGAACTTTTTCACTTGTCTTTTCTCGACTGATCCCAATTATGTTTTCAGACCTGTGCATACGTGTTTTAAAGCCTTATGTGCCTTATGGCATAAAGAGATATAGGATAGGAATAGCATACGTGTTTGGGTGGCTTTCAATACTCTGCAAGCCCATTGTCTCTGTATCAAAAATGGTTTTTACAATAACTGTCTAATTTCTCGCACGCTGATTGGCTCATTTTTATCATCAATAAGAGCACAGACGGATAAAATTTATGCAAGCTTTCAAGATCAACTGTCAGCTGTCAAACTGTCAACTTTTTAACCAAATTGATATTTGATTGACTTTTTTAAGCAGCCAATCAAAAAGCGAGAAACTTTGCATGCTTGTTTACGGCAAGTTTATGGCATCTTTTCCCCTCATTTATTCCCAGTATTTGACCATTTTGGCCTGGGGTCTTGTTATTGTAAAAAAACAAATTGACATCAGTTTTTTATGCATCTGTCCTCTTATTGATGATAAAGTACATCATAACATTGTCAAGGTCTACTGCAGAACCACTTGCCTGTGGCTCGTGGTTCCACAGCCACTTTGACAATGTTATGACATAATTTATCATCAATAAGAAGACAGACGCATAAAAAACTGACGTCAGTTTGTTAATTAAGTAACTGGTTGTTTGGCTGGGTGTTAGACATTCACATGTGATAGGTCAATATAAAATAGAACTGTCTGCTAACAACCTACATATTATACATATATTTGACTGTGTTTTTCCAGAAAATATCCATACCACCACAGAAGGATTTTTATATTGGACCCTCCTCTCCACTAATTTCATACTTCCCCTTTAAAATTTTGACTTTTGAAACCCCCTTTCTTTTCAAAGTTTGGCTTTTGAAACTCCCTTTCACCTTTCCCCTTCAAATTTCTTCAAACCTTCTTTGGGGTGGGTATGGATATTTTTCTGGACTGTGCAAAGTACTGTATGTACGTCTGAAACCTAATTTTCGTTAATCACAAACCACACATATCACAAGCCACCCAGTGAACCCTTGTTTTTAGAAGACTTGGAACCTGGAAGAGAGCGCAACTGATTGCAGAAGTTGCTCCAGAGTTCTTTTAGTGTTCTATCAGTAAGACTGTAGCCACATCTCTGGCCTCTCATTTGTGAAAATTAAGTCAGTCGGTACATGGAGCTCACTGTTCAGCTTTCTCCCTGGCTGTATGGCATGAGTTGCAGAAATGCTAGAAAAAAGATGCATATAGGAAACTTGATAGGGTTTTCCTCAGATTTCTCCAGCAACTTACATGTAGTGAATAGTAACTTCAGTATCAGAGTACAATATTCCACATGTGTAGATTTCTTCTTTCTGCAGATGCTGTCAGTAAACCAGTGTGCATATCAAATGGATTAATGCCTCCTAAAATTTCACTCATTTGGAATGCTGTAGATGACTACCAAAGCAGTTTTCAATTCACCTACAATGTCCTCTACTGTTACAAAGCAAATCCAAACAACAAATTTTGTTTGGATCCACCTTTTGGTTACAACACTTCTAAAGATTGCACTGGTCTGTCTGTCAACTCCAGTTCAAGAATTGGGAGCAATGTCTTAGAGTGTAATGTTACTTCCCTTTTCAAGAGATTGGTTCCAAGCCTGTTTGATTTCCATGCTCCGGTAACCATTCCTATAATCATCTTCAGTATAAACATTGGAAATATTCAAAGTGATGGTTATAGCACTTTCAAAGCTTGTGATCCAAGAATGTTAGGTATTGAATTAATATCATAAAATGTACTTTTATTAGAAATCTAATTCAATCTGTATTTCCTCTAACTTGTAACATAGCTACCGGTAATGAGTTGTAACTCGAGCTAAATTGAGTTCTTGAATTTATAAACCACTGTTAGTAATATAATCTGTTCCACAAGTCTAATAGTAACCATAGCTTGAGTTTACTAGGTCTGTAGCAGTGTTGTCCAGTGTTACACTCATTCATAATTGGAATACGTCTTTTTCATCAGTGAAGTGTACAAAACCAGAGAATGTACGTGTGGATAACTCAAAAAGGAGGACGCTATCACTGATTTGGGATAGACCCAGGAATATGGGGGACTACAAACTTACCTTGATGTATAAAATATTGCAAACTGCTGATGGGTCTAATAACACAAAGGTAAGCAGGGCTTGAAAAAAACTTGAATTTGAGGTTGCCCTTCAGACAAGCAGCTTTCAAGTTTTGCTTGCCATGGGCAAGTCTTGGTTTGCTTTTACAAGTATTGATTTAGTTGGCAGAGGACATGCTTAGGCTATTGCCTATGGACAACTGAGAACAAAAAAACTACTAGTCCCAGACGACGGGATGGCACATTTTTTAGCTCTTGTGAAATATGATTGAGATAAAATGAATAGATCGGAGTGGGATTTTCTTGCTACCATATGTAATGCCCCTCTCTAATAACACTCTTATGGACTCAGTGTTTGTAAAACTGGACTTTGGTTTAGATAACAATAAAACATTTATTTAGTAGACTTTTCATGTAGAGAACAGCTTGGATCACAAATAATCTTGAGGGAGGTACACAAAAAAGGTGCAATCACCAACCAAAACATATTTTATTAAGGAAACTATGGTTAAAAAAAAAAAATTTTCAAATGCTGCTGTTTATCAATGCACTAGTCCTATAGCTACACCTAGCTAGTTCACAGGCATGCCACTTAAAATGAAAGAAACTAATATGTCCACGAGACATAATAGGCTTAAAAATCCCAGCTGGAGGGAGGCTGAGACCATTTGGCTATTTACAAGGCTTGCATGACCAAGGAGTCAAACTAGGGTCTTTCAAGAAACAACTGCAGCCAGGTGGTCAGATTGCGACTTGAACCTGTGACCTCCAGATTTCAAGACCAGGGCCCTAACCACTCGGCCACACCACCTCCTACATGAAACCTCAGAAATGTAAAGTAATTACTGATAATGTGTTGTAATCAGTCCACAGAATTTTGGAGCAGAGATCGAAAACGTCAGTTTGACATAAGCTATGATATCACTGGTCTTCACCCATATACCATGTACCACATCTACATTGCTTGTTCAGTTAATTCTGCTCACAACACTGGCAATCTTGGGGAATTCATCGGCCCTTTCTCAGCCAGGACTGCAGAAGAAGGTATAGTACAAAGCTTAAATAAGCCTCTCTCTGCATGTTATAGCTTCCTTTACAGCTGATTTATTCTGATTTGTTTGAATTGTCCACTAACACATGGGAAGGTTGTGCTGAACATGCATGTACATGTATTCACCTCTTGGAATTTGATTGGTCACAGGGGTAGATCCAGAAAATTAAGATAGTGGGGCCAAAGAAATTGTGGCCAAGCACAGGCAACCAGCCCACCCAAACTGAATGAAAAATTCCAATCTATAGATGGTTGGTCATTTTTTTTTTGAAAGTACAAGTGAAGAAGGGGCAGGGAGTTGCCTCCTGGCGCTACCCCTAAATCTACCCGGGCTGGGTCACAACAAAGAGAACCCAACAGAGAATTATTAAAATGTTTTCAAGTGGTGTGGCAAACATCACTTTCAAGAACCTTGCAAAAGCAGTGCAGTTTCAGTACAAAATTATGTAGTTGTCAGAAGTTAATTGAAAACACTTCAGTCAATTCCTCTGACTAATTCTTGTTCTAAATTGTGTAACAGAACCAAGCCATTCACCTACAATTTATAAAAACCTGACTTCCACCATATTATATGGGGAATACAGGAATGTGAATCTTCAATGGAAGGTATGTGAATGTGTGGAAAACTGACATACATTTTACAGAGTTAACCAGTTTCTGCTACTGTGGAGACCTATGCCGATCCTAGGTTGACACACCATTAGTTTGAATTGTGGATGTAAACAAGTGATCAGGTCTTGATAAATTTGATGAGCCCATGTGATTCAGTGAAGTACATGTAATTCCGGGTGCTGACTATTTCCTTCCAATTCCTGTTATCAGTTAAAGACATTACTTCACAGTTGTATGCAAGTTATTTTTACGTTCGTCTTATTGTCATTTATCCACTGTTTCTTCATTCTTTTTCTTCTTCTCATTTTTACGCTGGGATTTAATTTTTTATAATAATAATTAATTTTGTTTTGAATATTGAGAATTAACAAGCACGATGCATATATACATATTAAATGACTTATCATTTTGCAACAACATCAGTGACAATAATTGTTTCTCCACATGCTGTCCATCACACTCAGTGCAACTGTCAGTCAGTTCTTTGTCATCTGTCCTTCACTGAACAGTTGTAATGTTGTTTTATTTGACAGCTTCCTGACAACAAAACTTGGAACGGAATAATCACTCGCATTGTGCTTTGTTACTGGAAGGCAAACGGTAGCGTGCCAATAGACGCTGGTTGTGTGGTGGTGCTGAGTAATGTATCCATGACAACAGGCAACTTGACTAACTTACACTTGAATGAGAGTTATTTCGTAGTTGCACAGATGTGTACACGTGCAGGTTGTGGTCCTCAGAGTGATTCCATTCTTATCGCCCGACAAGACTTACCAGGTTTGTTTGATCTTGAATAGGATTGCCTCCAACGCAAATCCTCTTTGAGCTGGTGATGCAAGTTGTTTTAGAGCGATGAGATCCATGCATTTATTAGCAAATTCGAGAAAGCCATGTTGTGAGGTTATAATATTATTGCAACACCTTTTAGATCTATTCAGTTGGGGAACTGACTCGCTAGTCAAAAATAGACCAAGCTTTGTATGGTTTTGAAAAGTTTCAAATCATGCAATGATCACAGGACATTCAACTGGCTTGATTTTACCAGTATCCAGCAAATGTCAAGAACCACTCAGAAGCAAGGATGACTGTATTTAACAAGAAAGGAATGGAATGTAAGATTTATAGACTCAAGAATAAGAAGGTTGGCTAGGGTTTTAAAAAATGTCACACCAAGATGCTTGCAGCATGAATTTATGTCCGTCATTGATTACTTCTTTTAACAGTTTTGTGTGCGTTTGTAGCCGCTCTATTATACACTGCACGTGTTCTCTCATTAAGAAACCCACATGCTTTTTGTTGTGTTTCCTTGATGTATTGATCCCAGTTCACTTGTATGGCTAGCTCCTTGAGCAAATAAGATTAACCAATCAGGTAAGTGGGCAGTACAGGGCTATTTTACTCGTTCAGTATTGCCTGCTGTATCCCGCAAAAAAACAGCTTCCTGTATGCCATATATATATAATAAATACTTAATTGACTAACCTTAATCGGTCACGATGGCTAGATATTGGCCTCGATCATAATATTATTTGCGTGTGTACAGTTTACATTTTTATAGTTTATTTATTTCCATAAAAGATCACAAAATTACAATTTACACTACCCACATATAGTGAGAGCTAGTTGAAGCAGGCATTGTAATAAATAAATAAATTTATTTATTTATTTATTTATTCATTTATTAATACTTTAGGTCACAATTAAATGAATGAATGGAATTGTAGGAGGCAGCGTGGCTGAGTGGTTTAGGGTGCTGGTGTTGTAATCCGGAGGTCCCAGGTTCAAGGCCTGACCACCCTGCCACTCTAGCTAGTGGGATTTGTTTCTCGGTGGTCCCGAGTTGAAATCCTCGGCCACACCTGTAAATAGCCAACTGGTTTGCCTCTGGCCAGTTGTGATTCTTAACAATGTTATGTTCAATTTGAATTATTTGTTTCAGTTGTTTGCTCGGCCCCACTAGCACTTGTGCTATAACACTGCCGAGGGTAAATAAAGGTTATATATATATTTTATATTTTTTATATAAAATTAGCAAAATACTTAAACAAGTACAATGAGTCAGACTAGTGATAAATAGGACTAATGATGAAAGGAATTGTGAAAAGGACAAGCTTTACAATACAATCATGAAGTACAGTACTTAATTATGGGAATTCAATTTCAAGACTAGGCAGTAGGCGTCAACATTATCAACCTCAATCCCAAGCACTGTGAGGAGCAAGTTATATACTTGACTGCAATTGTTGCCATATTATTGTATCCAGCCATCGTGACTGATCAAGCTTAGTTGTACCAGTTAACCCTTTCGCCACGGAAGAGCACTTAACATGTGCTTGTGCCGTCACTATTTGAATCAAATCTGGCAGATTTTGATGAAGTTTTCGTAGCAAAATGATCTTGGAAGCACAAAATTGTGCCCTCCCCTCCCCCNGATAGATTAAATATGTAAGTAATCAAAGAAATAATTTAGATTGTTCGCTCTCTGTAAGTACGAAGTTATTCATTCATTCATTTATTTTTTTGTGTCGTTTGTTCTTGTTGTCTTCTTTTTGGAAGTTTTGGAACTTTTTTCTACAATAATTGCGCGGCCTGTGCTGCTTTTGTTACTTATAACCTACTCATTGAGAGAGCTATAACAAAAAAGCTATAGTTTGGGGTATACCTAATATTTATGAAGATGTGGGCTGTTTTAAACTCTTTCGTTCTCTCCTTTCACACCATCGTTTGTCAATGCTATCACTTTATTAGTGATTGTTGATGCGATTTTTTGCTTGCCCAGATCTACAGCTTTCAAATGGTATATAAATGGGTATAGTGGTTCTATTAATTGGATTGGTAAAAGCCCCGCAAAAAAGGGTCAACGAAATTGTCTCATTTTTTGGTTCATTTCTGACATACTTGTTCTGAATTTCTCTTACTGTTTCCAGCTGGAACTCCTGAGCCTCGTGCAAAGACACAAGGATATTTCTACATTATCATTGGTGTCGCGTTTGGAGTGCTTCTAATTTGTATTGCTTGTGCTTTTCTGGTGGCCTGGTATTGGTCAAAGAAACTGAGGTAAATCTTACCAACAACCCACTTACAATTGTTAGAGGAAGTTTTGGTCTTCATGCAACCTTTGCTCGACACTGACTCGGTTGGCGTTGATCAACATTAGGGACCTGACGGCGATCACCCGGCAAGGACGACGCCTATTAAAAAGTATGTTTATATTTTACTTTGGAGTTTCGCATTTATTTAGATCTATCCAGTGTATCTGTCGGTATTAAAAGTTGCCCCCGCTGAATATGCTACGAATGCGTTCAGTTCCGAATAGAAATACGAAACATTAGCCGCAGTGAGTTCCGTTGTCAAAAAACTTGGAAACTGGTCATTCCCCGTTGTTGACTTGGTGAGGACGACAAAGAAATGTACCAAGAATTATAATGTACGTGCATAGCCATTGTTCCGCTCTTTAAATCTTTTGTTTGGTGACGTTCTCGTTGCCGTTACCGTCGTGTTTAGCGTAAGGCATTGGCAACCAGAACGCCACCAAACAAAAGGTTTAATGAGCAAACCAATAGCTGTGCACTTGCGTTACATTTCTCAGTCGTCTCGTGTAAAACGACGTGAAATGATTAAGTTATGCGTATTTTGGAGAACTCGAACGACGGCGGCTAATTTTTCGTATTTTTATTTGAATTGAACCCTGGCGTTACATATTTAGCTTGAGCAAGTTCTGAAACCAATAGGCGCACTGAACAGATCTAGACAATTGTGAAATTCGAAGGTAAAATAATTTATAAATTCATTTTTTACTAGACGTTGTCCTCGGGGTCGCCTCATCTTCGCTTAAGCTCTGTATATATCGGTTTGATCTAACCTTGTTGTCGGGTGCCGACAATTTTTGTATACATCTGACTGATGAAATATAACCCGGATCTGATACGCTGTAACTTCAAAGGTGTTTAAATTGCTCACCGAGCTAACTGTTTGGGAACTTTCTCCAACAGAAAACGTAGAAAGCAAGAGAAAATGAAACCCTTAATGGACGTTATTGGAAAACTGAGTGTAAGTATGAGGTCTGACAAAGATCTAAGTTTAAAATTTGGTCTAGCTTTACTGAGTAAAATTGTCAATTTTTTCGGCTCCTTCTTTGGTCGTGTGGAAAAAGAAATTAGGCGAGCGGTGCTAGCCGAGAGTGGTCTGGGGCAGGAAGAAAAAAAGGCGGCTCGCCCTCGCCGGGAGCCTGTGAACAGGTTACTGCTGGCGTAATTCCAAAGCACGAGTCATGTTAACTCGCTCGAGGTAAATCTATATTTCAGACTGGGAATCATCCCTTTCTTTATGGACTAAGGCTAGTTGGAAGATTACTTATAAGGAACTATGGGTTTTCTTTTGCCAATATAGCCTCCTTATATGTACGAGAGTGCAAATGAGCCGTCAAAGAGAGAGGACAGCGGCGATTATGATGAGACTATAGCACCCCTGCTTAGTGGTGACAACGACTATGTAAAGATGAAAGCTTGTCAGCTTGAATCGCCACTACTGACAAGACCAGAACACGATCGAGCTGATCTTCAACGCTCTAGTGAAGTTTGATATGGAGCTGAATGTCAGTTGTTGTAAAGCAGTTGTTTTGGCAGTCCCGCCTTAAGTCATTACCACCGGGCAACTGCCTCACGTCAAATGCGGTTTCCTGGGACGATGGCCTCTCGAAGCCTCAATTGTAATAAAATAATAAAATGAATAAATCACTTTATTTAAGTGTCGAAGTGTTTAGCACCACTGTACTAATGGAGGACACTGAAAGAAGCAAACAAATATTGTAAATTAAACAGAAATTCCTACACTAGTTCCTTGACTTGCTGTGCAGACTTGCTTCAAGTGTGTAGGGGTGGTGGTACTACCCACGGGCATTTTGTACTCTCCCCAGTTTCGCTGGCATCAAGAGACCAAGATAGCGGCCCGTCGAACTCAGTGATCGACATCTACGATCTCACGGAAAAATAGGGGACTGTGAACAGTCTATCCTCCGATAGACAATAAGTGATAACCAACAAAATGGGAGAATAATTCGGCATATATAAAGATCAATGTTCTTGACAGTTTTTCACCCTACAATGCTGCTTTTAGAGAGATATTTTTTTAGATTGCAAAGAGCCTTAATGTCTTTTACTTTTGCGGAGCCGCTTAATTCAAACGAAAGTTTCACGATATACACCGGAGAGAGGGTGCAAAATCAAAAACAGGTAAATATATTCTATGGGCTGGCGGCCGAGAAAATAGTTGGATACTGTAAATAGAAGAATGCGAGCCATACGATATTTATGGTAGACGCTTTGTGAAAGGAACTCATTGTAAATGCAGATAATTTTATACCTTGTTCTGTGAGACAATTTTTTCTGTAATGGCGGTTTTGCACGGCAGCCATGTTGTATGGCAGGAACAATGAAAATGTTTTGCATTAGAGAGAACATTTTTACCCATAGGAAAAAGAACCTACTGTTCTTGCCACGCAATATGGCTGCCGTGCAAAACCTCTATAATCATTGAAATAAATGCTCTCTTTATAAAATGCTTCATGATTTGGTTAATCGCACAAGTATAGTCAAGAGTCATAATCTCTTGGTATAATTTACTCGTAGTAAAACAATAGCTCTTTTCACGGTGAACTTTTCTCGTTTGTAAATAATCCAACATATATGTGAGGCAATTTCGGGTAACTATCCACTTTGGATTATATTGCAATGCAAATGAGATAATAAGGTCTATTACAAATACAGGCAAATAAAATCCAGCGAAATTCTCAGACACCGAAGGTAAACTAAGAGGAATGTAAATAACTTTGGGCCGGCACACCAATTAGTTGAATGGTTTCAGCAGTTAAAAGAAGGCTTTAAATAACAACTTTTTTTTACCTTGTTTGAAAATTAAATATAGTTCATTTTGAAAATTTCTTGGGAGAAGAACCCATTTCAACGTTTCAACCCATTCCAATTCTAATCTGAAAAAGTAGAAAGTAAAAAGTTATCTTAAATTAAAAACAGCTCAGCCTCGTTCTGTGATTGCAGGTGAAATCCAAGGTTTGCTATCTGTTTATAAGCGTCCCTCTTAAAGTGTTTACCGTTACCGAATACGGGATGCTTCAAACACCTTCGGCTGTTGCATTATTAATTTTGTTATTGAACCCTGGCGTGAAAGCAGACGCTTGTTAGATTGTCTGGCTTTAATTAAACGGACTGGTAAAAGAAAATACCATTTGTAGCTGTTTCAATTGTTCACAGGCACGCTAAATGAAACAGCTGACCTTGTTGTTCGGAAGAAAAAAAGAGAATTATTAAAACTGCTGAGAATCATGATTGTCTCTTGCAAAAACCAAATTTGACCCTACTCGGGTTCAATAATTCACCAAATTCTTCTGATGAAAAACTGCTATGAACGATTTTCTACGAATGCATCCAATACTCGTGTCGCTTGCACTGCAGGAGATGAAGTGAAGGAGCGCGTCTGTTTGCTGAATTAGTTGGCTTCAATTGATTGAGTGAATTGCAGACAAAGAAAACACAGGGAAGGTAGCCGGCGCATCGCGCTCCGCGCTCGTGTTTCGCGCTTCGCGGTCTGCTCTGCTAATCCGCCTGTTCAGTAGGCTACAGGGAAGATAGCCAGTTGAAATATACCTTATTATAACTCTTTGAACCCAGCCGATTTTAATTAACTTACAGGCTTACCGCAAATTTTTCCCTATCTGCTCAATACTGAAGATCCATACTCGATTCAAGCTCCTAAACTAAAATCTCGTCTCTTTTTAACTTACTTGTTTTTCACGCTCTCCCCCAAATAACCGAACACCTGAAACAGGCTATACAAGCTACACCTTTGAAGATATCTTTCTCGTTTTATTACTGGAAAATAAGTCAATATCACCGGAACAACATACCATACTTTTCATTGCAATGAGGTAGCAAGACTGAAATGAGTTCGACACGTTCGTAAAATTCCGGGAATCAGTGGTAATTTCCCAGAAAGAATTTCAGTTTCTAAAAAGTTGTCTGTATGAGGACATATGAGTCACTCCATCGTTTTTATCATTTAACGTTATATACTGCTTATTCCTCAAAATCAGGTGAAAATGTGCTGGGTTCTGTTTTCAAAACTATTTCATTGGACCTTCAATAATTTCGTCAAGATGTGTCCGCCCAGAAGGTTCTGCATTCACCTAGCTTTCAATTTACATACCGTGAAATAGGAAAAAGGATTAGGTATATGTTAACTTTCGCTTTAATCGGACAGCCCTATGAGAAACAAAACAAAGGTGGTAATAAACAAAAAATTTCAATCGACGCCAAAGCTTTCAGAATTTGAATAAAGCTGACAGGTGGAAATTGAAATGTGGGGATAACGTTTCTGAATGAAGGTTTTTTTCTCCCTACTACCGAAATACCCGACAGGAAAAACATACATAAAGAAAGTTGTTTTCCGTCGGAATGAGTTTATTTCCTACTCTTTTTTGTCATTTATGACTCATTGAAGATTTGTGATTGGTCAAGAAGCTGTTTCCAATATTAAATGATAACTTATTTATATATACATATGACGGGAACAAATATCCAGCCTGCAGTGTAAACAATACGCCACGTGCCTTTTGTCGGCTTTTGTGTACACGGCCTAGGTGCTTGTTAATTAGCTTATTCCGTTCTCGGCAAAATGAGTTGTTTTCTTTCAAATTGTTACGAAGCTTTCCGAGTTTCCATGGATGCGCGAAACCGCGCGAAAGTCTGGGGGAAAATCCCTTGCCTGAACTTAGTATAAGAAGATGGTAGACATGCAACGGTGAAGATGCATTTATACAGTCAACAGAGATGGCGCTGATTGCAATATTTTCCTATTTATTCAGTTCTTGTGTGGTGTATCAAGCATTCGCGGGAAAAAATTCAACAGGTAAGAACTGTGATATCTGCCAATTGTTTTAAGTGCACGAACGTGACGAAACTTCAGGCATAAGTGACGATACGATCGCTTTTTTTTAACACCTGTATCACTGTTCAGGCGTGGAGTCTTTTCACCGTTCAGTAACGACTGTAACAAACGAGATTTCGCCGTGTCCATCGGCCAAACCAGAAAGCAAGAGTCAGTAACAACAGACAGAATGATAGAACTTAATGCAAGGTTACGTATTTTCCGCAAATTCTGTTCCAGCTATTGTGGTCACAACGGAAGTGATAAGCTCATTGTCTCTTAGATCAAGTCTTAGTGTTGCTAAATTTATATTTTCTAGCTGGCAATTGCGTGACGGTTGTGTAGCGTTCTGTGATGGAAATTAGTTCCATCAAAAAACATTAAAGCTGTTCCGAGAGGTTCGAAAAATTTTGACACGCTTCTGTGTTAAGCGGGAAACATCGGTACAGTAAGGCTTCGATTGCATCGGAATATTCACGAACGGTTTCTAAAGCCCATTGTTGAGCAGTCCTGAATATAAAACCGAAACTCTAACTTGTTTTATTGTTTTCTATACACCGATCTGTTTTCAATTTATACTGCAGTTCAATAATATTAAGCTTGTACTTTCATTTTCCACTCATGTGCAAAGCGCAGAACGAGGTCGTCATCACAGCAGTATTTTTATTTTGTACATTTTCGATAAAAAAATACTTATTGAAGAAAATTGGCCAGCGGTCGCATTTCAAACATAGCATCCGTGGTTTGTGTTGAGTGGATTGAGCAACTGGGAGTGTAGTTCGGTTAATTCAACAATGAGCTTTCCTGGCATTGTCGTGAGGTACATGGGAACTGAAATTATGGATTATAACATTCTGGCGGTTTAATTTTGAACGTAAACCAAATTTGGTCGATACCAAGCTGACTATGTATGATTTAGGTGAGTCACTTCTAAACACCTCAAATATCCTCGGTACTGCAGTAGAGCACCCTTTATTAGCACGCTCGAACGTAACAATTTATAATGAGCTTAAAACAATAACTTGTTACTAGCATAACTTAATTCGATTCTGGTGAAGATACATGGCATTAATTTAATTGATTTCTCTTATATACTAAATGTAACTTATATACCTCCGGTTGATACAACACATCCTCTATATTCTCCTTTAAGGTGATTCCCTAGTAAAAGAATCTGCCATAGATTTCCGATGAAACTTGGTATGCTGTTGTTACAGGACAAGGAGGCTAACCCGAGTATTATGCCCATATTTCTCATATATTTTCTATGTTTGACTACCAGAGTGACAAGACAACTTTGAAACCAGCAATGGTATTCATAGAATCTGACCAGTCTGTCAGTGCTAAATAGCAACAGCTGCAATTAGTCACCTCTTGCCCTGCAAAGCAGAGTGGCAAGGCTTCTGTCTGTCATCTGTAGTTCGTATTCCAAAATTTTGTACATGTATATATATGGGGCTGGGAGTGCCTGGAGCTCGGGTTGGGCATCTGTGAGCTTTATCAACTCAGTTTTATACACTTTTTATTGGAGGCAATTGGGAGTTATCAAAGGCCCAACATAATTATGCTTGGGGTTGGAATGGAGGGGCTATTAATTGGGAGTTATCAAATGCCCAACATAATTATGCTTGGGGTTGGAATGGAGGGGCTATTAATTGACAGTATTATAATTAAAACTTTTTACTGTGTGGCCCTTATCTTTTGTCCATATAACGTCTTCTGATTTTTAATTATTAGCCTCCTATATGGGTGAACTTTGTTTTCTATTTTATTAAAGTAGACGTGTGATGATCATCCAACAATTGTATAGTCAGGTCTTGCTTGACATTTCTACCTGTGTGCTTAGATAGGTTTACTAAATTATGTCAAGTTATTTTCTTGTATGCACCAAACGTTTTTCAGAATGTGAAATGAGCCCTAATCTAAGTATTATTATTTTTTTAATAGTAATATCAGGTAGGTAAGTTAAGGGGTGAGCCTGAATAACACTCGGGTTAGCCTGCAGCTAGTTGTGGTTAGCTGTCAATAATGGTAAATAAAATGGTAACACTCCTCACCCCTTACCTCCAGTTTACACCTTAACCAGTATTTTATGGTATTTTAAACTGTGGTTTAAAAAAGATAGTTGTCTGACAACTTAAACATGTTGTGATGCAGTAACCATACAGTGTAGCTTGATTATTATCTACTGCCAGAAAAGGATTTGTTGCAATTATATTTAATAAAAACAATTAATCCTACTCAACTGGGATTCTGTAAAATATTGTTTCAGTGATATCATTGTAACTGACTTGACCTACAGGCTTGACCCTGATTCAATCTGCCATTGCATAAGTATCAAGCAATTTGCCATACAGTTTTGCAGGAAATGTTTTTGCTTTTAAAATTTTTAAAATACTTCCATTGAAAGGTGCTACTTATAATACTAGCAGGATATCAGTTATTTGATGGGAAGGCTTAAGATCAGCAATAGTTAATACTGAATTGTTCATATTAGGAATGCTATATCCATCTGAGTTTTGACAACTGCATGGGTACTTGAAAGTGCTATTAATTTCTTATAAGCAACTTGTAGGTGCGAAGAGACTATTGGGCAGGTGTGCATTACTCTAATTGCTAATTACCTTTTTTGTTATTCCTTTTCAGTTATCAAAGAGGTATCCATAGAAAGCAGATGTGAAAGCACTGGAGGATTCAAGAGTGTGAATATCATATGGAAACCACTTCATAAGGATTTCTCTAATTTGACTACTTACAGGGTGTCATATTGCACTCGTGGGTCTACTTGTGTTGGGCAGTATCAGTTAGGTTGTACACTGAACACGTCTGATTCATTACAGAAGGAATTATTGCAATGCAGCATTATTGCAAAAGATCTATTTCCTTTCCAATTTTATTTTAAAGTGGAGATACAAAGTTCAGATGGAGTTCATTTTATAAGCAAAACAAAGGCCTGTCGTCTGCTAACAAATAGTAAGTGCATATACTGTACGTAGGTAAATGACATGTGTTCTGCAAATTAAGTTTCCCTTAGTTGTGGATAACATGTGAAATGTGTTACCATTATTAGCAACAGTAATTTTCATTCAGCTAGGAAATGCATGTAGGAGGCTATAAGCTGATGCCATGCCAATTAAACTGTCAAATGAATGTATTCAGAAGGCCATTTAGCTCTTCTAAGCCATATCTTGGGACAAGCAATGCAACGGTTAGACAGAGCTGGTGTTGCACCTTGGCTAGACAATCCAAGCAGCCCCAAGGCTATGTAGCTGAAGCCACAGCACAGCCTGACAAGTGTTGACAGGGCCATTTAAAGTTATTAAGCTGAAGCCACATCATTAAGCCTGCCTGATTTTATGCTGAAAGCCATGTGTAGCAACATTGTGAAGCAACATCATGCTGCAGAGACCTTTATAGCTGAAGCAGCATCATTAAGGGTCAGGCAATACATTCAGCTCTAGAGCTAAATGTAGCTGAAGCAACAGCATAGAATGGTAAGGCAGGCAGATAACTTTGTACATGTAGCTAAAGCCACGTCATAAACTGGCAGGGCATGCACAGAGCTATATGTAGCTTAAGCTGGTAATGCATGCAGAGAACTTTGTAATTTTAGCCCCATCACAGGCTGGTAATGCATGCAGAGAGCTATGTAACTAAAGCCACACCATGGCCTTGCGGGGCATGCAGAAAGCTATGTCCCTGAAGNGGAGAGAGGGTGCAAAATCAAAAACAGGTAAATATATTCTATGGGCTGGCGGCCGAGAAAATAGTTGGATACTGTAAATAGAAGAATGCGAGCCATACGATATTTATGGTAGACGCTTTGTGAAAGGAACTCATTGTAAATGCAGATAATTTTATACCTTGTTCTGTGAGACAATTTTTTCTGTAATGGCGGTTTTGCACGGCAGCCATGTTGTATGGCAGGAACAATGAAAATGTTTTGCATTAGAGAGAACATTTTTACCCATAGGAAAAAGAACCTACTGTTCTTGCCACGCAATATGGCTGCCGTGCAAAACCTCTATAATCATTGAAATAAATGCTCTCTTTATAAAATGCTTCATGATTTGGTTAATCGCACAAGTATAGTCAAGAGTCATAATCTCTTGGTATAATTTACTCGTAGTAAAACAATAGCTCTTTTCACGGTGAACTTTTCTCGTTTGTAAATAATCCAACATATATGTGAGGCAATTTCGGGTAACTATCCACTTTGGATTATATTGCAATGCAAATGAGATAATAAGGTCTATTACAAATACAGGCAAATAAAATCCAGCGAAATTCTCAGACACCGAAGGTAAACTAAGAGGAATGTAAATAACTTTGGGCCGGCACACCAATTAGTTGAATGGTTTCAGCAGTTAAAAGAAGGCTTTAAATAACAACTTTTTTTTACCTTGTTTGAAAATTAAATATAGTTCATTTTGAAAATTTCTTGGGAGAAGAACCCATTTCAACGTTTCAACCCATTCCAATTCTAATCTGAAAAAGTAGAAAGTAAAAAGTTATCTTAAATTAAAAACAGCTCAGCCTCGTTCTGTGATTGCAGGTGAAATCCAAGGTTTGCTATCTGTTTATAAGCGTCCCTCTTAAAGTGTTTACCGTTACCGAATACGGGATGCTTCAAACACCTTCGGCTGTTGCATTATTAATTTTGTTATTGAACCCTGGCGTGAAAGCAGACGCTTGTTAGATTGTCTGGCTTTAATTAAACGGACTGGTAAAAGAAAATACCATTTGTAGCTGTTTCAATTGTTCACAGGCACGCTAAATGAAACAGCTGACCTTGTTGTTCGGAAGAAAAAAAGAGAATTATTAAAACTGCTGAGAATCATGATTGTCTCTTGCAAAAACCAAATTTGACCCTACTCGGGTTCAATAATTCACCAAATTCTTCTGATGAAAAACTGCTATGAACGATTTTCTACGAATGCATCCAATACTCGTGTCGCTTGCACTGCAGGAGATGAAGTGAAGGAGCGCGTCTGTTTGCTGAATTAGTTGGCTTCAATTGATTGAGTGAATTGCAGACAAAGAAAACACAGGGAAGGTAGCCGGCGCATCGCGCTCCGCGCTCGTGTTTCGCGCTTCGCGGTCTGCTCTGCTAATCCGCCTGTTCAGTAGGCTACAGGGAAGATAGCCAGTTGAAATATACCTTATTATAACTCTTTGAACCCAGCCGATTTTAATTAACTTACAGGCTTACCGCAAATTTTTCCCTATCTGCTCAATACTGAAGATCCATACTCGATTCAAGCTCCTAAACTAAAATCTCGTCTCTTTTTAACTTACTTGTTTTTCACGCTCTCCCCCAAATAACCGAACACCTGAAACAGGCTATACAAGCTACACCTTTGAAGATATCTTTCTCGTTTTATTACTGGAAAATAAGTCAATATCACCGGAACAACATACCATACTTTTCATTGCAATGAGGTAGCAAGACTGAAATGAGTTCGACACGTTCGTAAAATTCCGGGAATCAGTGGTAATTTCCCAGAAAGAATTTCAGTTTCTAAAAAGTTGTCTGTATGAGGACATATGAGTCACTCCATCGTTTTTATCATTTAACGTTATATACTGCTTATTCCTCAAAATCAGGTGAAAATGTGCTGGGTTCTGTTTTCAAAACTATTTCATTGGACCTTCAATAATTTCGTCAAGATGTGTCCGCCCAGAAGGTTCTGCATTCACCTAGCTTTCAATTTACATACCGTGAAATAGGAAAAAGGATTAGGTATATGTTAACTTTCGCTTTAATCGGACAGCCCTATGAGAAACAAAACAAAGGTGGTAATAAACAAAAAATTTCAATCGACGCCAAAGCTTTCAGAATTTGAATAAAGCTGACAGGTGGAAATTGAAATGTGGGGATAACGTTTCTGAATGAAGGTTTTTTTCTCCCTACTACCGAAATACCCGACAGGAAAAACATACATAAAGAAAGTTGTTTTCCGTCGGAATGAGTTTATTTCCTACTCTTTTTTGTCATTTATGACTCATTGAAGATTTGTGATTGGTCAAGAAGCTGTTTCCAATATTAAATGATAACTTATTTATATATACATATGACGGGAACAAATATCCAGCCTGCAGTGTAAACAATACGCCACGTGCCTTTTGTCGGCTTTTGTGTACACGGCCTAGGTGCTTGTTAATTAGCTTATTCCGTTCTCGGCAAAATGAGTTGTTTTCTTTCAAATTGTTACGAAGCTTTCCGAGTTTCCATGGATGCGCGAAACCGCGCGAAAGTCTGGGGGAAAATCCCTTGCCTGAACTTAGTATAAGAAGATGGTAGACATGCAACGGTGAAGATGCATTTATACAGTCAACAGAGATGGCGCTGATTGCAATATTTTCCTATTTATTCAGTTCTTGTGTGGTGTATCAAGCATTCGCGGGAAAAAATTCAACAGGTAAGAACTGTGATATCTGCCAATTGTTTTAAGTGCACGAACGTGACGAAACTTCAGGCATAAGTGACGATACGATCGCTTTTTTTTAACACCTGTATCACTGTTCAGGCGTGGAGTCTTTTCACCGTTCAGTAACGACTGTAACAAACGAGATTTCGCCGTGTCCATCGGCCAAACCAGAAAGCAAGAGTCAGTAACAACAGACAGAATGATAGAACTTAATGCAAGGTTACGTATTTTCCGCAAATTCTGTTCCAGCTATTGTGGTCACAACGGAAGTGATAAGCTCATTGTCTCTTAGATCAAGTCTTAGTGTTGCTAAATTTATATTTTCTAGCTGGCAATTGCGTGACGGTTGTGTAGCGTTCTGTGATGGAAATTAGTTCCATCAAAAAACATTAAAGCTGTTCCGAGAGGTTCGAAAAATTTTGACACGCTTCTGTGTTAAGCGGGAAACATCGGTACAGTAAGGCTTCGATTGCATCGGAATATTCACGAACGGTTTCTAAAGCCCATTGTTGAGCAGTCCTGAATATAAAACCGAAACTCTAACTTGTTTTATTGTTTTCTATACACCGATCTGTTTTCAATTTATACTGCAGTTCAATAATATTAAGCTTGTACTTTCATTTTCCACTCATGTGCAAAGCGCAGAACGAGGTCGTCATCACAGCAGTATTTTTATTTTGTACATTTTCGATAAAAAAATACTTATTGAAGAAAATTGGCCAGCGGTCGCATTTCAAACATAGCATCCGTGGTTTGTGTTGAGTGGATTGAGCAACTGGGAGTGTAGTTCGGTTAATTCAACAATGAGCTTTCCTGGCATTGTCGTGAGGTACATGGGAACTGAAATTATGGATTATAACATTCTGGCGGTTTAATTTTGAACGTAAACCAAATTTGGTCGATACCAAGCTGACTATGTATGATTTAGGTGAGTCACTTCTAAACACCTCAAATATCCTCGGTACTGCAGTAGAGCACCCTTTATTAGCACGCTCGAACGTAACAATTTATAATGAGCTTAAAACAATAACTTGTTACTAGCATAACTTAATTCGATTCTGGTGAAGATACATGGCATTAATTTAATTGATTTCTCTTATATACTAAATGTAACTTATATACCTCCGGTTGATACAACACATCCTCTATATTCTCCTTTAAGGTGATTCCCTAGTAAAAGAATCTGCCATAGATTTCCGATGAAACTTGGTATGCTGTTGTTACAGGACAAGGAGGCTAACCCGAGTATTATGCCCATATTTCTCATATATTTTCTATGTTTGACTACCAGAGTGACAAGACAACTTTGAAACCAGCAATGGTATTCATAGAATCTGACCAGTCTGTCAGTGCTAAATAGCAACAGCTGCAATTAGTCACCTCTTGCCCTGCAAAGCAGAGTGGCAAGGCTTCTGTCTGTCATCTGTAGTTCGTATTCCAAAATTTTGTACATGTATATATATGGGGCTGGGAGTGCCTGGAGCTCGGGTTGGGCATCTGTGAGCTTTATCAACTCAGTTTTATACACTTTTTATTGGAGGCAATTGGGAGTTATCAAAGGCCCAACATAATTATGCTTGGGGTTGGAATGGAGGGGCTATTAATTGGGAGTTATCAAATGCCCAACATAATTATGCTTGGGGTTGGAATGGAGGGGCTATTAATTGACAGTATTATAATTAAAACTTTTTACTGTGTGGCCCTTATCTTTTGTCCATATAACGTCTTCTGATTTTTAATTATTAGCCTCCTATATGGGTGAACTTTGTTTTCTATTTTATTAAAGTAGACGTGTGATGATCATCCAACAATTGTATAGTCAGGTCTTGCTTGACATTTCTACCTGTGTGCTTAGATAGGTTTACTAAATTATGTCAAGTTATTTTCTTGTATGCACCAAACGTTTTTCAGAATGTGAAATGAGCCCTAATCTAAGTATTATTATTTTTTTAATAGTAATATCAGGTAGGTAAGTTAAGGGGTGAGCCTGAATAACACTCGGGTTAGCCTGCAGCTAGTTGTGGTTAGCTGTCAATAATGGTAAATAAAATGGTAACACTCCTCACCCCTTACCTCCAGTTTACACCTTAACCAGTATTTTATGGTATTTTAAACTGTGGTTTAAAAAAGATAGTTGTCTGACAACTTAAACATGTTGTGATGCAGTAACCATACAGTGTAGCTTGATTATTATCTACTGCCAGAAAAGGATTTGTTGCAATTATATTTAATAAAAACAATTAATCCTACTCAACTGGGATTCTGTAAAATATTGTTTCAGTGATATCATTGTAACTGACTTGACCTACAGGCTTGACCCTGATTCAATCTGCCATTGCATAAGTATCAAGCAATTTGCCATACAGTTTTGCAGGAAATGTTTTTGCTTTTAAAATTTTTAAAATACTTCCATTGAAAGGTGCTACTTATAATACTAGCAGGATATCAGTTATTTGATGGGAAGGCTTAAGATCAGCAATAGTTAATACTGAATTGTTCATATTAGGAATGCTATATCCATCTGAGTTTTGACAACTGCATGGGTACTTGAAAGTGCTATTAATTTCTTATAAGCAACTTGTAGGTGCGAAGAGACTATTGGGCAGGTGTGCATTACTCTAATTGCTAATTACCTTTTTTGTTATTCCTTTTCAGTTATCAAAGAGGTATCCATAGAAAGCAGATGTGAAAGCACTGGAGGATTCAAGAGTGTGAATATCATATGGAAACCACTTCATAAGGATTTCTCTAATTTGACTACTTACAGGGTGTCATATTGCACTCGTGGGTCTACTTGTGTTGGGCAGTATCAGTTAGGTTGTACACTGAACACGTCTGATTCATTACAGAAGGAATTATTGCAATGCAGCATTATTGCAAAAGATCTATTTCCTTTCCAATTTTATTTTAAAGTGGAGATACAAAGTTCAGATGGAGTTCATTTTATAAGCAAAACAAAGGCCTGTCGTCTGCTAACAAATAGTAAGTGCATATACTGTACGTAGGTAAATGACATGTGTTCTGCAAATTAAGTTTCCCTTAGTTGTGGATAACATGTGAAATGTGTTACCATTATTAGCAACAGTAATTTTCATTCAGCTAGGAAATGCATGTAGGAGGCTATAAGCTGATGCCATGCCAATTAAACTGTCAAATGAATGTATTCAGAAGGCCATTTAGCTCTTCTAAGCCATATCTTGGGACAAGCAATGCAACGGTTAGACAGAGCTGGTGTTGCACCTTGGCTAGACAATCCAAGCAGCCCCAAGGCTATGTAGCTGAAGCCACAGCACAGCCTGACAAGTGTTGACAGGGCCATTTAAAGTTATTAAGCTGAAGCCACATCATTAAGCCTGCCTGATTTTATGCTGAAAGCCATGTGTAGCAACATTGTGAAGCAACATCATGCTGCAGAGACCTTTATAGCTGAAGCAGCATCATTAAGGGTCAGGCAATACATTCAGCTCTAGAGCTAAATGTAGCTGAAGCAACAGCATAGAATGGTAGGGCAGGCAGATAACTTTGTACATGTAGCTAAAGCCACGTCATAAACTGGCAGGGCATGCACAGAGCTATATGTAGCTTAAGCTGGTAATGCATGCAGAGAACTTTGTAATTTTAGCCCCATCACAGGCTGGTAATGCATGCAGAGAGCTATGTAACTAAAGCCACACCATGGCCTTGCGGGGCATGCAGAAAGCTATGTCCCTGAAGTTACATCATAGGCTGGTAGGGCATGCAGAGAGCTATGCTGAAGCCACATCCTAGAATGGTAAGGCAGGCAGAGAGTTATGTAGCTAAAGCTACATCATAGAATGGTAAGCTGGCATGCAGAGAGCTATGTAGCTAAAGCCACATCAAAGGCTGGTAGGGCATGCAGAGAGCTATGTAGCTGAAGCCACATAGAATGGTGAGGCAGGCAGAGAGCTATGTAGGTAAAGCCACATCATAGAATGATAAGGCAGGCAGAGAGTTATGTAGCTAAAGCTACATCATAGAATTGTAAGGCAGGCAGAGAGCTATGTAGGTAAAGCCACATCTTAGGCTGGGAGGGCATGCAGAGAGCTATGTAGGTAAAGCCACATAGGCTGGCTGAGCATGCAGAGAGCTATGTAGGTAAAGCCACATCTTAGGCTGGCTGGGCATGAAGAGAGCTATGTAGGTAAGGCCACATAGGCTGGCTGGGCATGCAGAGAGCTATGTAGGTAAAGCCACATCTTAGGCTGGCCGGACATGAAGAGAGCTATGTATAGGTAAAGCCGCATCTTAGGCTAGCCAGGCATGCCAGCTATGTAGGTAAAGCCACATCATAGGATGGCAGGGCATGCAGAGAGCTTTGTAGCTAAAGCAACATCTTAGGCTGGCAGGACATTTGGAGGGTTATGTGGCTGAGGCAATTTTTGCAGAAAGCTATATAGCTATGTTTCAAAGGCGGGTAAAATGCACAGAGAGTAATATTTTGGTCCAATAAATGCCATTTCATAGGTTGGAAATGCATGTATGGAGCTTGAAGCTGTAGGTCTTTGCAGGCACCTTTGTTAGTTGTGTATTACTTTCTTAGTTAAAAAGTAATTACAAATGTTTCATAATATATGCAGTGCTTGCTTAAATTTCTTGCAGCTCGTTGCACAATTCCACAAAACCTAACAGCTACAGCAACTGGAAAAAAAGCTCTTTCTGTGACATGGAAACCCCCGCTATTCATGGGGCAACTAGCCTCATATCTCTGTTTTAAAATACTGTATGCTCCAGCACATGCCAAAAAAAATGAGGTAACTTTGATTGCCATATTTAAATTCATTAACAGTTAAATCGATAAGAGCTGACACTTGCTTGCACATTTTTTGCTTTGTTAGTTGTGTGTGAGGGCTGTTATTTAAATCCATTTTATAAGTACGGGCTAATCAGTTTCTTACATTTCCATACGATGTGTTTAATTGCAGATCTTGGAATTTTCCACCAACACTTTCCACCATACAATTTCTGATCTCTCTCCATATACAGCATACACACTGTATATACAGTGTGGCTTTGCTGACTGTGTTGGGGGCTGGGGATTGTTGAGTAGACCTGTCACTGTAAGGACTAATGAAGAAGGTAAGGAATTATATTTATTTACTTTCTGGATATGCTTGTTAAGTTTGATGTGAGTACTAACAAAATTGATTTCTGATTTCAAACGGGGAGTAATTTTTGTTTAAATTTTTGTTTTCTTTTAGCACCAGCTAAGGCTCCGGAGTTTAGAAATTGGTCGATTTCCAAGACATCACGTGACAAACGTGATGTGACAGTTGTGTGGAAGGTACAGTCTTGGTACAATATTTTTATCACTGATTTGCAACCAGCTAACATACATGTAAAACCAAGTAGTGTCTGGGGTCTTTGATGGTAGAGGTATGGCTACGTGCCACAGTTGTGGCTTTCTTTGTAAAGACGTGGAAAAGAAATATTTGTTGCAAGTATTGATCTACTGTAAGTATTGTTTAGCTGAACAGTTCCAAGGACAATTTTCCAGATACTATTCTTGACTTCTAGAAGTTTTTAGCTCCAATCAATTCTAGATAATGAAAAAAGGGAAAAGAGAAAAGAGGAAAGGGAATTACATGTAGGAAGGAAGAAAACTTGATGAATTATTATTGAGTTTGATTAGTAATGTGAACGAATTTAATCCATCCAAGATTGAGATTATACAAATGAAGTGACTATGTCAAATTTATTCCTGTGTAGAAATTGTTTCCTCCTTTATTTCCGCGTTCATATGAACCTTTCCATTTGTTTCCACTTGTTGTTTTACCGCAGTTATAACAAAGTTCAATAAAATAACTCACATAACTTGAATAACTCATAAGTCACGCATGTACGCATTGTAGACCTATTTTCATTCACAGTTGCCGCCCCCAAATACCTGGAATGGCGTTCCGAACGGGTTTAACCTTGATTTCTGGCAGCTGTCTTTGGGAGAGAATGGTTCTTTAACACCATTACCAAACTCTTCAAGGCACTTGCATGTTGGCGATGGTAATGCGACTAAAGCCACGCTACAAGGTTTAAGCCTCTTTGCGTACTATCAGACGCAAATCAGTATGTGCACAGCTGAAGGATGTGGACCGAGCAGTGAACCTTTCGCTTTTCCAGGCATGTAGCTCTTTTTAAAGGTGAACATGTCCAGAAATTAAAGTCAATCAATCGATGAATCAATCATTTTTGTTGGCTGCTTGTGTGGACATCAAAATTGTGACATTGAACGCTTTGCTTTTTTTCAGGCGAGAGGAAGCCAAGTACAACACCGACTCATCAGCCCAGTGACAATATTGTTTTTATTTGGGCTGGAATAGTGGTTGGCCCAATAGTTTTAGTTGCAGTACCTATTGGATTGATTTGTGCCTGGAGGAACAGGCAAGATAGGTACGTTGAATACTTTGACATATCATACAAGTAGGAAACAGTGCAACTGACTAATGTTAAATATGTAACTTTTACGTTTATCATCTTTAACTGCGTAGAAATTGCCATGGAGTCTTGAGAAATTATATCCTTATTTGTACCTTATTTGTATACCTCTTACTAACCGAGTTCCAAGGCCGTGCTGTAAGTTACGCACCGACTTTTTTCCCCATCGAAAAAAAAAAACAAAAAACGAGGATCCGTAACTTATAGTACGGACCGAGAAAACGAGGTTAGTAAGATATTTATTATATCTCTACTGGGTGTCTGACGGGTTCGGAAACGATTTCTATTCACACAGAACGGCTTCATATTTCTNTTTTAAACTGTGGTTTAAAAAAGATAGTTGTCTGACAACTTAAACATGTTGTGATGCAGTAACCATACAGTGTAGCTTGATTATTATCTACTGCCAGAAAAGGATTTGTTGCAATTATATTTAATAAAAACAATTAATCCTACTCAACTGGGATTCTGTAAAATATTGTTTCAGTGATATCATTGTAACTGACTTGACCTACAGGCTTGACCCTGATTCAATCTGCCATTGCATAAGTATCAAGCAATTTGCCATACAGTTTTGCAGGAAATGTTTTTGCTTTTAAAATTTTTAAAATACTTCCATTGAAAGGTGCTACTTATAATACTAGCAGGATATCAGTTATTTGATGGGAAGGCTTAAGATCAGCAATAGTTAATACTGAATTGTTCATATTAGGAATGCTATATCCATCTGAGTTTTGACAACTGCATGGGTACTTGAAAGTGCTATTAATTTCTTATAAGCAACTTGTAGGTGCGAAGAGACTATTGGGCAGGTGTGCATTACTCTAATTGCTAATTACCTTTTTTGTTATTCCTTTTCAGTTATCAAAGAGGTATCCATAGAAAGCAGATGTGAAAGCACTGGAGGATTCAAGAGTGTGAATATCATATGGAAACCACTTCATAAGGATTTCTCTAATTTGACTACTTACAGGGTGTCATATTGCACTCGTGGGTCTACTTGTGTTGGGCAGTATCAGTTAGGTTGTACACTGAACACGTCTGATTCATTACAGAAGGAATTATTGCAATGCAGCATTATTGCAAAAGATCTATTTCCTTTCCAATTTTATTTTAAAGTGGAGATACAAAGTTCAGATGGAGTTCATTTTATAAGCAAAACAAAGGCCTGTCGTCTGCTAACAAATAGTAAGTGCATATACTGTACGTAGGTAAATGACATGTGTTCTGCAAATTAAGTTTCCCTTAGTTGTGGATAACATGTGAAATGTGTTACCATTATTAGCAACAGTAATTTTCATTCAGCTAGGAAATGCATGTAGGAGGCTATAAGCTGATGCCATGCCAATTAAACTGTCAAATGAATGTATTCAGAAGGCCATTTAGCTCTTCTAAGCCATATCTTGGGACAAGCAATGCAACGGTTAGACAGAGCTGGTGTTGCACCTTGGCTAGACAATCCAAGCAGCCCCAAGGCTATGTAGCTGAAGCCACAGCACAGCCTGACAAGTGTTGACAGGGCCATTTAAAGTTATTAAGCTGAAGCCACATCATTAAGCCTGCCTGATTTTATGCTGAAAGCCATGTGTAGCAACATTGTGAAGCAACATCATGCTGCAGAGACCTTTATAGCTGAAGCAGCATCATTAAGGGTCAGGCAATACATTCAGCTCTAGAGCTAAATGTAGCTGAAGCAACAGCATAGAATGGTAGGGCAGGCAGATAACTTTGTACATGTAGCTAAAGCCACGTCATAAACTGGCAGGGCATGCACAGAGCTATATGTAGCTTAAGCTGGTAATGCATGCAGAGAACTTTGTAATTTTAGCCCCATCACAGGCTGGTAATGCATGCAGAGAGCTATGTAACTAAAGCCACACCATGGCCTTGCGGGGCATGCAGAAAGCTATGTCCCTGAAGTTACATCATAGGCTGGTAGGGCATGCAGAGAGCTATGCTGAAGCCACATCCTAGAATGGTAAGGCAGGCAGAGAGTTATGTAGCTAAAGCTACATCATAGAATGGTAAGCTGGCATGCAGAGAGCTATGTAGCTAAAGCCACATCAAAGGCTGGTAGGGCATGCAGAGAGCTATGTAGCTGAAGCCACATAGAATGGTGAGGCAGGCAGAGAGCTATGTAGGTAAAGCCACATCATAGAATGATAAGGCAGGCAGAGAGTTATGTAGCTAAAGCTACATCATAGAATTGTAAGGCAGGCAGAGAGCTATGTAGGTAAAGCCACATCTTAGGCTGGGAGGGCATGCAGAGAGCTATGTAGGTAAAGCCACATAGGCTGGCTGAGCATGCAGAGAGCTATGTAGGTAAAGCCACATCTTAGGCTGGCTGGGCATGAAGAGAGCTATGTAGGTAAGGCCACATAGGCTGGCTGGGCATGCAGAGAGCTATGTAGGTAAAGCCACATCTTAGGCTGGCCGGACATGAAGAGAGCTATGTATAGGTAAAGCCGCATCTTAGGCTAGCCAGGCATGCCAGCTATGTAGGTAAAGCCACATCATAGGATGGCAGGGCATGCAGAGAGCTTTGTAGCTAAAGCAACATCTTAGGCTGGCAGGACATTTGGAGGGTTATGTGGCTGAGGCAATTTTTGCAGAAAGCTATATAGCTATGTTTCAAAGGCGGGTAAAATGCACAGAGAGTAATATTTTGGTCCAATAAATGCCATTTCATAGGTTGGAAATGCATGTATGGAGCTTGAAGCTGTAGGTCTTTGCAGGCACCTTTGTTAGTTGTGTATTACTTTCTTAGTTAAAAAGTAATTACAAATGTTTCATAATATATGCAGTGCTTGCTTAAATTTCTTGCAGCTCGTTGCACAATTCCACAAAACCTAACAGCTACAGCAACTGGAAAAAAAGCTCTTTCTGTGACATGGAAACCCCCGCTATTCATGGGGCAACTAGCCTCATATCTCTGTTTTAAAATACTGTATGCTCCAGCACAAGCCAAAAAAAATGAGGTAACTTTGATTGCCATATTTAAATTCATTAACAGTTAAATCGATAAGAGCTGACACTTGCTTGCACATTTTTTGCTTTGTTAGTTGTGTGTGAGGGCTGTTATTTAAATCCATTTTATAAGTACGGGCTAATCAGTTTCTTACATTTCCATACGATGTGTTTAATTGCAGATCTTGGAATTTTCCACCAACACTTTCCACCATACAATTTCTGATCTCTCTCCATATACAGCATACACACTGTATATACAGTGTGGCTTTGCTGACTGTGTTGGGGGCTGGGGATTGTTGAGTAGACCTGTCACTGTAAGGACTAATGAAGAAGGTAAGGAATTATATTTATTTACTTTCTGGATATGCTTGTTAAGTTTGATGTGAGTACTAACAAAATTGATTTCTGATTTCAAACGGGGAGTAATTTTTGTTTAAATTTTTGTTTTCTTTTAGCACCAGCTAAGGCTCCGGAGTTTAGAAATTGGTCGATTTCCAAGACATCACGTGACAAACGTGATGTGACAGTTGTGTGGAAGGTACAGTCTTGGTACAATATTTTTATCACTGATTTGCAACCAGCTAACATACATGTAAAACCAAGTAGTGTCTGGGGTCTTTGATGGTAGAGGTATGGCTACGTGCCACAGTTGTGGCTTTCTTTGTAAAGACGTGGAAAAGAAATATTTGTTGCAAGTATTGATCTACTGTAAGTATTGTTTAGCTGAACAGTTCCAAGGACAATTTTCCAGATACTATTCTTGACTTCTAGAAGTTTTTAGCTCCAATCAATTCTAGATAATGAAAAAAGGGAAAAGAGAAAAGAGGAAAGGGAATTACATGTAGGAAGGAAGAAAACTTGATGAATTATTATTGAGTTTGATTAGTAATGTGAACGAATTTAATCCATCCAAGATTGAGATTATACAAATGAAGTGACTATGTCAAATTTATTCCTGTGTAGAAATTGTTTCCTCCTTTATTTCCGCGTTCATATGAACCTTTCCATTTGTTTCCACTTGTTGTTTTACCGCAGTTATAACAAAGTTCAATAAAATAACTCACATAACTTGAATAACTCATAAGTCACGCATGTACGCATTGTAGACCTATTTTCATTCACAGTTGCCGCCCCCAAATACCTGGAATGGCGTTCCGAACGGGTTTAACCTTGATTTCTGGCAGCTGTCTTTGGGAGAGAATGGTTCTTTAACACCATTACCAAACTCTTCAAGGCACTTGCATGTTGGCGATGGTAATGCGACTAAAGCCACGCTACAAGGTTTAAGCCTCTTTGCGTACTATCAGACGCAAATCAGTATGTGCACAGCTGAAGGATGTGGACCGAGCAGTGAACCTTTCGCTTTTCCAGGCATGTAGCTCTTTTTAAAGGTGAACATGTCCAGAAATTAAAGTCAATCAATCGATGAATCAATCATTTTTGTTGGCTGCTTGTGTGGACATCAAAATTGTGACATTGAACGCTTTGCTTTTTTTCAGGCGAGAGGAAGCCAAGTACAACACCGACTCATCAGCCCAGTGACAATATTGTTTTTATTTGGGCTGGAATAGTGGTTGGCCCAATAGTTTTAGTTGCAGTACCTATTGGATTGATTTGTGCCTGGAGGAACAGGCAAGATAGGTACGTTGAATACTTTGACATATCATACAAGTAGGAAACAGTGCAACTGACTAATGTTAAATATGTAACTTTTACGTTTATCATCTTTAACTGCGTAGAAATTGCCATGGAGTCTTGAGAAATTATATCCTTATTTGTACCTTATTTGTATACCTCTTACTAACCGAGTTCCAAGGCCGTGCTGTAAGTTACGCACCGACTTTTTTCCCCATCGAAAAAAAAAAACAAAAAACGAGGATCCGTAACTTATAGTACGGACCGAGAAAACGAGGTTAGTAAGATATTTATTATATCTCTACTGGGTGTCTGACGGGTTCGGAAACGATTTCTATTCACACAGAACGGCTTCATATTTCTCACGCACCTCGAAAGCTAAACGAGTCAATTTGAAATCGTTAGTAGGTCTTAACATAGAATTTCAGAAGTAAAAGAAAGTTTTAAACTTTTACCTGCTAAAAATGGTATGAACACTTGGCGATAAATCACAAAAACAGCTTTAAATTTTAGCGGGCCGTACAGTAGAATAAGGCCTGCTAAATTGACCAATCACAGCGTGCGTACTAACTGAGAGATATAATAATAAAAATTGAATATATATGTTTAAATTAAACTTACTTTGTCTATTTGTTATTTATTCACACGTTCGTTCGCCTGTTTGTTTTGCTGTATTTTTGTTGTTTCTTTGTTTGTTTATTCATTTATCTAGAGATAACTGCACCAACAAGATAATCGCAATGATGTTTTTGTTTTGTCATATTTATTTGCCCATTTGTTTACTGTTGGGTGGAAGTCGGGAATTTTTTTTTTAATATCGACCTGAGCTCGGTTGTTTGGTTTAGGACAATTACAAATCTCCAATCAGTAAGTAATCGAATAAGTGATAATTGAGACGCGACTCTTAAGACTGTGCTAAGGACAGAAACTATTAAAAAGAACCGACAGATTGGCAACTTGTCCATGGTTTGATTTATTTGCCGTTCATCGGAAACCAAATTATCTGCGAGAACTGATTTTTCGCTTTTGATTTTGTTCTTATTTAGCAAACCCCATATCACTTTGATTTTAAATGATTGTGTACGTGTCACTGTGATCACAAACTCGTTGAGCGTATTCGATCGTAGTTCACTACGGGAATATCACCGATATCCTTCCCTAACGGAAGCAAGATTATATCCATATTGCTCAGTTAGAGATTTTCAAATGATTATTAATCATCCATAACATCTTTCCGCTGAGACGTTTACACGGAAACCATTATTTCGATCTCTCGTCAACTACTGCTATTATCATCCACAGAAAAATATATAGGTACATAGGCTTAGCGACTCTATTGACTAATCAAAGCGTGCGTAGTATCTCAGTTATTTTATAATGCGTGATAGTTGACAAGGGCGCAACTTAGCAAATAGATTCGATGTTGCCGTGCGTCTGTTCAGTAATAAATAAAAAAGAGACTTTCAGACGTCTCTCTATATTTTCCTTCGCCCAGTCACGTAAAATATTTTCTAAATTCTCAAAACTTTTCACCATTTTAAGGCGTGCAAGATTTTCTTTTTGTGAATAAAAAGCCCCTGGATGTAGCAGTACTCAGTGGACTCTTCTTAACAGTTCTGATAAGCATAATTCAACAAGTTTAATTGGGTACGATGTACAGCGAAAAAAAATGAATTTATATCACCTTAGGATATACGATATCAAGCCTACTTTTGTCAAGGTTTGATTATAGCGAAAGAACCACTGTGTCGCATCAAAGTTTAATCTTATTAATTTACGGTTTAACTTGCCGCCACGATGGAGTCTTCAGGAATATTTGAAGAGTTTCCATAAAACAAACCTTTAAGAAAATCTCTGCTAAAAATTTCCGTTTTTAAGAATTGCCATTAGTTAATGCAAGATGTTAAAATGCCGCTGAAAAGATTAAAAAAAGAGACTTCCAAACACTTAAATCAAGTGTGGACGTACCGCTAGATTGGCTTGTTGTTTGTTTATTCTGACCTTGTGAACAAGAGTCACTGATTCGTCAGTTGTAATTGAAACTAATCGTTCATGAAAAGCAAAAGTGTCAAGTTACCATTGGAAACTGGCAAATAGAAATATCTCATTGCATTTGCCTGCGGCAAAAACAAATTTCAAAACTCCAGCAGTGTTCTCATTCATAACCACCCTCGGAGATCCAGGGGCTACTAGCCGGGACGAAGCGATATTTTCGGGCGAAAGTTTACTTCAAGAGCTGAAGAGCCCCTGGGACCTTATTCTTACCCAACCAGTTCCAGAAGTGGTCGAATTCCGTCCCGCTGATTGGGCAGAAAAATATTTTTCTGGCCAATCAGGGAGGAGGTCCAGCCGAGTAACTCTGTCGCCTACTCACACGAAGTGGTTTTCTTCGTCGATCGCTCGCCCGAAAATATCGCTTCGTCCCGGCTAGTAGCCCCTGGGTCTCCGAGGATGATTCATAACTCACCGTCGGTAATTTCTTTGGTTTTGAAAGAGAAAACCACTGCAAATGAGTATTTCAGTATTGATCCCAAGAAACGTTTTAACGATAAGACAGTTCTACTCCGTAAACAGCGCTACTTAATTGAGACCTGCATTCAGAAACTAAAAATTCTGCCCAAACGTAAATGGTTTCGACTTAACTCTTTTTTCGTGAGATGAACGTAATGCAAATGATATAGACGAAAGCCCCCTCACCATCGCTAAAGTGTATTTTGCACTAAAACCTAGAAAGCACCAATTTGTCGAGCGGCTAAGACCCAGTTCATTCAAAATGTCAAGTAATGCGAAAAGCAAAGCCTTGATAACATGTTAGTGTATACCAAAGACTGTGATTATCGAATTTTGAAATCTTTTGAAACCCAACTACAAAGTCCTGGGCTTAACCACAGTAAACACACATCGGAAATGTCAGAATAAGGTCAGTACAAGAATACCTGTTTCTGTTTATAGAAAAGCAAAGATGCCCGTTCTAAAATCGATATGAAATCTTCACAAACATGATTCACCTTTACAAGCGGCAATTTGATTAGTTGTTTATAGTAGCACCAATCTGATTGGTGTGACATACATACATCTCTCAATCACTCACTCACTCTCACTCATGCTTTGACCCGCTCATAACATACCCCAGACCAGTAAGAGGTATTTTTTTACCAAAAAAAGTAACTCAAAAACAGAGGGAAAATGTTTGTTATGTTGTCGTCATCTATGCGTCTGTCCTCTAATAGATCATAGGTGAGAACCAATCAAAATGCGAGAATAATTTGACTTATGTTATGAACAACTTGAATTAGATTATGTGCTCGAGATTTCTATGAGGTGACAGTTGATGAGGCCGAAGGCCGAATTCTTACTTAAATTACTAGAATTCTTTCTTGAATTCTTACTTAATTAATTAGTTCTTACTTAAGTCTTACGTTCCTTCAGCTAGCCATTTCTAGTTTTTGTACATTGTATTTAACTTTACGCTTTAGAAAAATCGCGCGGACTGAATTGTCGATTTGAATTTCTTGTTGTGTACGCGCGCTCATCAGAGCCATTTGTCAATTTTTTTTTGTTTGCTCAACATTTTCTAGGGTTTTTTTAAAGTCACGAAACTAGGAATATTATTATCCATTTGTATCTAAATGTTCTTCTGTAACTTCGCAAAAACGGAAAACGTCGCTATTTCGCAGACGACCTCCGGCTACTGCACTGATAGTATAATAATGGCTGATGGTATATGAGTAGTTCAGTTAATCAGATTGCAGCCATTGCATTAGTATATCAATAGAATTCTAAAAAATTCAGAATAGGTAGTGAGTAGCGTAACCAATCAGAGAACGACATTCGTGATAGAACACCAGTAGATTTATACTAACAAGTATTAGATCGAAAGGTTCAGCTGTACGAATTATTCAATTATCTAATTATTGGATTATGTAATTTTATTTATGTTGTATCTTGTTTGTGTAATTACGTATTTACTGTGTCGTTTATTTAGGCAGAACATGGGGCAGCAGCTACCACTGCGGCAGAGATTACAATTACGGGTAATGTTTATAATGTTACATTTCAATACTTCGTAGAAGTCTTTATTTTAACCTGCAATGATTCATAGTTTTGTTTTGCAAGTTGGCAGACAAGCATGGCACAGTCAGCGTGCAATTGTTCCTTAGGTACAGAGGTGTTACGCATGTTAATTATGTAAATAACTTATAATAATAATAACAATAATAATAATAATAATAATAATAATAACAATAATAATAATAATAACAATAATAATAGGAGGACTCTATCCATCAAGTAATCCAGAAGACTTATGACTGCCCTAGGCTCACGGATTGGACTCGGCACCATAAATTAAAGCGGCAAGACTTTAAGGACTTATAATGATAATGATAATGATAATGATAATGATAATGATAATGATAATGATAATGATAATGATAATGATAATG